TACTACAGGGTTTACAGGGTCCACAAAGACCACGGCTACATCACATTAATGTCTGCAGCAACTGTCGTATGAAGCACTAAAATAGTGTCAGGCACTATTACACGTCTTCCAACTTCTCCTGAAGCTATTACAGCAGTAATACATGGAGTCATTTTTCCCCGCTCTGCTAGCTAGTGTCTCAGACTTTAATTAAAACCTTGATGACATTAAACATTTACCAAGTGGCTGCGAAGAATCGTGAGATTAATAAGCATCAGGGAGCCAGTCCACTGTGATTGATGGTGGCCAGTGTACTATGATGGATGCAATCACAGCCAGGGCCTGACAAAGGAACTGTTCACGACAGGCAATGCCAAACGAAGCTGAAGCTACAGGAATGAACCAATGAGCCAGTCATTCCAGACTGAGACCAGAAAACAACCACAACCAGCCCGCGATCCAGTCATTCAACACCAGGACCAAATAACAACCAGGACAAGTCACTGATCTAGTCATTCAACACCAGGACCAAATAACAACCAGGACAAGTCACTGATCCAGTCATTCCACACTGGGATCAGACAATAACTAGGACCAGTCACTGATTCGGTCATTATACACTGGGATCATATAAGAACCAGGACCAACCAATGATCTGATCATTCAACACCGGAATCAAACAACAATCATGACCTGTCAATGATCTGGACCAGACAACAACAGGTACTAGACAACAGCCAGAATCAGCCAATGATCAGGTTATTTAACACCCAGACCAGACAACAACCAGAACCAGCCAATGACTTGGTCATTCACTACCATGGCCAGACAAAGACCAATTCATTTAACATAATGGGCAGCCAAAGACCATTTCATTCAACACCAAAAGTAGCCACCCAGCCATTTATTCAAGACCAGTTTGTAAAATGTTTAGGACTAACCAAGGACCAGTTCATTGTACGTCAAGATGAGTCAAAGACCATTTCATACTAACACCCAGGGCAGCCAATGACAATTTCATACAACACCTACAGCAGTCATTGGCCTCTTCATGCAACATTAGAACTGACATCATCACCAACAGTCTATGAACAGGCTATACAAATCGTAACCTGACTATGGCCAGGGTATATAATATCAAAGCCAGATGAAAATAAGTTCAACATTACCAAATATGGTCAACCGTCGATTTATAAAAATTAAGAATCAATCAAGTGGCATCCTGTCTGGGGTCTACCTCTTACTCTGTGGTACTTGGAACAGTCTCCGAACCCCTCCCCCTACAACCCTGACAAGGATAAGCAGATGAATGGATGGATAGATCACTCCACAAGCAGATTAAATGAATCACATTCACCCAAAAACCAGTGTGCATCAAATATTAGCCAGCTAATAAGCAATTAGACCAAAGAGTAGAACTTCACAAGCGTTTCATGAGAAACAAAATGAACAGAGGTACAGACTGTGGTGTCTGTCATTTTCCAGTTTATAATAAAAATGTTTAGCTTTCCTACTGTATAGTCATTCGTTTTAATTATGTTAAGTGCTCACCCTTTCATAAGCCAAATGTGAAAAGGAAACTAGAAGAAATCAGATGAAATGAAGAAATAATCTCTGTACACAAGTTTCACCCATCGCAACATAATGGTTTCCATTGCTGAATTAAAGAGGAAGCAATGGTGAAGCAAGAATCATGAGGAAATAAAACAGAAATGAAAGATTCTGCAGTCACACCAAGTTATCAGAGACACCCTCTGCAATCACCTGGAAGTGATATTTCGGATTGTGTAAAAAATGTGTACGGTGTACCGTCCAATCAATGTGCAGGCAGGCAAACGATCGATAAAAGCCTCGAAAACATCGACCAGATCATAAGAATATCTGACATATTAGGCTGCCCTTGCAACTGGCGTTACAGTGTGAGAAATCCGTCAATCTCTTCAAAGTAGGCGGCTTATTCGAAGACTCTGACAGGTCGCGCAACGAGGGATGGATCACCTGGTTAGACTTGCTCACAGCCTGTTCGTTACCTCTATTTTTTACGTGTATTTTGATTTCTTTCGTTTCTTAATCACTATCTTTACAACAAATACCCAACTATTTACCATGACGAACGAGCGTTACGTGTGCAGCAGTGATTCAGGACAGTATATCTGGGAAATGTAAGCTCCATTCGGCTCGGTCCTGTAATGTCAGATTTTCTTGCCAGTCATGAAACCGATATACACCAGCCAAGAACAAGGGTGACCATGCCGCCCTACCTCCACGAGTCCCTGCAGTATCCTCACGAACATGACGCATCCGTAGTGAACTCGGGCAGCGGATGGGATGAGCATGTTGAGAGTTGAGGTGAGGAATATAGCTGCACCGAAAACCCTGGAATTACAAAGAATATACGTGGGTGACGTCCAGCACTGAATTACTGGTGCAATTACATTATAATACTAATTTTCGTTATCCTATTTATAATAACACTAGGCCTATTACCAATTAATAGTATATACCGAATAATTTCTAGAATAAATGACTTCCTGTCATACAATGAAACAACCATAAATCCCATCCAATGTACTTCCTAACAGTCGTTTATGAATACAGCAAAGGTAGACTCGTTTTTGCTTTAATAGACTGTTTTTTCGTTGCATTTTGCGAAAATTAATCAAACATTGCCAGTCCAAGTATTTTATAATAAATATACATTGGTTAGATTTCATTGCAACAATCCGTTAGCTTGAAAATGTAAATATGTGTAAGCATTTCTTGTTATGGAATTCAACTCCTTCTAAATTTTTCCCCAAATTTCTATCAGTTAAAATAATGGTACATTTTCCTGAGAATTTCCTTTAATTTTTCGGCACGAATAAATGCTTCGTTGACACGGTTTGAATTTACTGCATAACACCTAGTAAGGTTACAGGAATATGGAAGAAACGAATACCACCAATCATTTGATTACATATTCTGCGGAATGGCTGGAATGTTAAATACACCTGTGGGTCATTTCTTTGCATAACATATTAATTATTCATATTTCGAAAGTAGAGCCAATAAATCGTTATACAGGAGTCATATGGTATGAAATTAATTTTGAAAAGAAAGCAAGTGAATGAAAACGGCATACAAAACATTATTTCATATTATATTATTATAGTCTCAAAAAGGGATAAGCAGGGGCCTCAAAAGCATTTTGAATGTGGGGGGGGGACACATTGGCATAAAACTAATATTTTATGTTAAATGTGGGGGGGTCCAAACGAATAATTATGAAATGTGAGGGGACACGTCCCCCTAAGATTTAATAGCGGCGACGCCCATGGATATAAGCATATTAATGACGATTTTTTAATTTAAAATTAAATATAATAAAGTCACTAAAGTACCATAAAAATGAGACCAACAATTAAATGCATCTATCTTAAAATTTAACGAGAAACGCTCCTGTTTATTTAAAGGTGTGAACGGAGTCGTCGGACAAATCGGAGCGGAGTCCGCTTTACGTTTCTCTCCCCGGTGTGAACACAATCCTCAGGGCCGCGGCGCACCGTGACCCGGCTTCAGCAGAGCAAGGCGGAACGACTGTAATCCGACTAGGCGATTACCTCATCTGTCAGGGGACACATCCCCTTAGATATACACAGTGCGTTTCACCACACGTAAAGAATAACAATAGTGATTGCTTCAACTATCCGTATTACATTAATTTACATATAATTTAAACCGCACCCGCGTCCGTCAAAATATAAAATATTCATGCACTAAACGTCGTACTCAGTAGGTTAGATGTCTGAATTTTTATGGTGTAGCAAAACGTTTTTTGGATATTGATAGCCCTTTTGATAGGAACTCCCCGATTCAGCAACCTTCCACGAACATACTTTTACTCGCATAATACTGGTTGGAGGTCTGATGCGCATGACTGGTTTACTGAAATATTCATCATCCGCCTATGTACACGTGATCATGGAAGTGAACATGGCTGGACGCCACACCCCTGAATAAAAGGGATTAGAGGCGGTCCCCCCCTGGGATCTCATTAACAGGTGAAAGAAAGCGCCACCGGCCAGAAAATATTCTCAGCTCGGCGAGGGTCAGTTATTTTTTTTCCTTTCTATTACCAAACGCCAGTCAGTCACCATTTCATACGAATAATCTTTCACACATTTAGCCTGTTTTTCGTCTTTAAATAATCATGACAATTTATTCAATACTGACTTCTTAACGAATATAGACAAATACATGTATATGTTCATCATTTGTTCTAAAACAGCATGCATATTCGATGGGATTGTATAGTTAGTCTGCATGAAAATGTTCGTTGAAAATGTAAAACAGCTGCATTTCATTGGGCCATATGTATCCCTTTTATTAGGTCTTTTCACGTGATGTGCTGCTGAACTATGGTGATTTAACTCGGGTTATTATTTCGTATTTTCCTTTAAAAATGCTATGGTGTGGAATAAGTAAATCTGCATAATACATTAGACTACATTAATAATACCACGATGCATGAACAGGTCGGCATTACAGGCAAACACACATGATTGATGACAAATTTACCTGTTGGCTGCCAGTCGTGAGGATATGTACCCTCCTGGGATCTGCGTGACGATGTAGCCCCAGAAAAACGAACCGTGGATCATCCCCACTGTCTCCGGGTCCCAGTTAAACTTGGCTTTCTTCAAGAGGCACACAAACATCGGTTATTGATTTCTATTGACTTTTCCAAGAACGCATACGAAATCGTGCGTAGGCCTACGTTACCCAGCTAAAATATAAAATTCGCATCGTGGTTTATATATTGGTATTTTGATTCAATGCGCAACTATTCTTTCTTATAGAAAAAAAATCAAGATTCATGTTTACCATTCTTGAATAATTCTCATCATTTTGATCTTTTTTTTCGATATGGGGAAATGCTTTTTAACTTATGTAGCCTAGTTACGATATAGTCTATAGCTCTAAGAATTGGAATTTCCTTCAAAAAAAGACGAAAGGAAATCGGGTAGACCATGGTCATCAAATGACAAATACAAAAGCACTTTTAAAACAGCGACATTCTAAAAATGAAACACATGGGGCAGATGTAATTAAATATTTATGAACAGGGCGGAATTTAATTTTCTTTTACGGGGCACGCGTAGAACGGGGCTGTCTATATTATAAAATTAACATCTTCAGCTCCGATTTATCAGATTTTAATATCGAACTCATTTTTTAAAAATGACTTCATCGTGCCTAATAGATTTATCAGATAATTTTGGACCAAAATGTAATAAATTATCCTCCGTAAGAATGTATTTGTCTATTGATTGTAAATAAACTGTAAATTATAAAATAAAGGCTAGAAATTATGTTAAACCGCGTGACTATATTTTTCCCATAATTTTAGAGTCCATATCGCGGTTATATGTCACGTGTTCTCAAGGGCATCAGTAGGCCTAAAGGCAAGCCCTACAGTTCGGGATCACCTGGCAGTACAAATCAGGTGGTAGCGATGTACACTGAACACTGAAGGGAATTATAAGTACTTCAAAAAAATGATGCTCCGTTACTCTGTGCTTCGCAATGCACTCAAGATCACAAACGTAACGGGTTGTAGTTACATGGGAGCATAAGGGACCGGGCAGAGGGAGGAGCACCGCCATGATATTTAAAGGTATCCGAAGGGGTCCGCACCTCTTTGATGATGATCTTGCCGCCTTGGTGGTATGTGCTGTTGTTAACCATGCTCACGATGGCCACGCCCAGGTTGCAGCGAATGCCGAAGGAGATGCAGAAGCCCAGGCCGCTCATGATGGCTATGATGTACCGACGGGGCAGCCCGAAACACGTGCAGTCAAATATCGGCGGCTTCTTCTCTTTGGTTTCTGAGGGTCGCCCATCTTCCGTCAGCTCGATCACCTCCCCAGTTTTCTGTCGCTTTTCCAGCACCCTGGGCCAGCCAAATGAGCATTGGTGTCCTTTCGTTTCCCACACATCTGTCACCCAACGCCGTTTACTTCTACGTGACTCGATGGTATAAACTGTACATCTAAGCTGCGCATTTTTAAAATAAAAGCCTTCATACACAGAGAAAAGCGCATTTTAACCTATCACAGTTAAGAACTTTCGACGTTCGATGATTTGACAAAAAAGAACAGGCAATTGTACAGATTTATTTGAAATTAATTTTAATATGAATCATATTTTCGTTAAATCGTTCTAAACAAATGTGTTATTTAACGCATTATGCAAGGCTGGGAAATAGCTATGTTACGTAATACGACGTGACCTTGAAACATGAATTATACCTGCCTGGACTTCTGTGCAAACGGATGCAACAAGCTTCTATTAAGCTGCAGCGAAACCAACGAATCAAATACTGATAGCATGTTTGATATAAAATCGGATATTTTCATAGTTAGACGGTCAGGCCAGCGACGGAGTGAAAAAACAGTTTATAGCGCCTCATGGGTGACAGTGTCACGAAATGACATTGGACAGTGACATTCCGGGACCCTGCCTTGCATCGCCCACGACAAATTTCAATTCCAGGCCAAAACGTGACAATTATTCCCAGCACCGAACCAATGGAGATTCCTTTGGATACCGCATTGCAGCAATCCGCTCGGCTTTGTCTTCATTTAGATTCACTGCTACTTTTTACATTGACACGAGCATCCCCCTAATGCAAACGATGCTCTAAAGCAGCCAAAGACCCTGGCACTCAACTTTAAAATGCATCTGAAAGGAAAATATATAAATGCATTCTCGAATTGTCTTGTTAATAAATTACCATTTACCAATCAAAGTCCTCGGTAGCCTATTTAGTATATTGCGAAGTGAGGAAAAAAAAGATTTAGGCAAATAAACACATAAATGTATTTGAATGAAAATGTTATTGTAATTATCAAATGCATAATTATATTGAGATGTTAAATATATATTATAATTTCATCTCTATATATAGGCAATATTTGGACCTTCTGTAAGCCAGTTTTAATTTTAACTTGCATTTTTATGGCATTATTATTATACTTTTATACTGGCATACAATATGGGTATATGGTTTATTTATATAAAATTTATTTTGGCTTTTTTATCTGTAGGTTTTCGATGAAATGCATTATTTCTTAATAGGACACACGGTGATTCAAATTTAGAACAACTATTCATAAACATATAACATTTATATATTCGATTTTATTCTTATCAATATAGTAAACGATACATTAAATATTTAATTATAACGAAAAAATGATGTAGACCTACAGCAATATTTAAGTATACATGCTATCAAAAAAGAGAACACGTTGATTCTAATGCAGGGCAATGCCAAGACAGATAGGGTCAATGGAGTCGACCGAAAATGCCGGTATAGCCATTTCGTATAATTCACAGTCCAAAACGTTACGGGTTATTTATGTAAGACAATCTCAGATACACATCTGATGGCAATTATTAGAAGTAAAATGTTCCTGAAACAAGACCAACACTGAGTGTCAACGCCAGCGAAGGAACAGGGCTTTGCAGGTGTCTCACAATACATCCAGAAAGCGCAGCAAAAATGCCGGCATGTTAAATAAAGGGAAGATCCCCCAGGAACGAACTGTGACATTTGATATCAAATTAAATCGATTGGTTTTCATGCAGGTCAGGGAATAATACAGGAGATATTTTTGCATCAGATGTGCGTATTTATTCATTAATTATTTACGGCGCCCACTTCTGCTTTGCTAAAGAAAGCGGTAATCCAGGGAAATCTCCAATGGACGGGTATTATTTTATCTTCTCAACTGTCCATTGCAAAGAGCAACGTACAGGTACACATTTCGATCAGTTTACACACTTCTTTACCATTGTTTTACACCAAATAATGCAAGCGATGCGCCTAGAAGAGGCGTGTCTGAAACCACATCGCATACTAATGATATTACAATATAATATTTCTGATTCACAATATGTAACAGTCAATCATGAAAAGGGAGAGGACATAAAATTCCCCAGGCCTTCATTTTTAGTTTTATTAGCATTTTCTCCCTTCTGCTTTTCTGCCTTTCAGGGGGGAAGAAAATCATTCATAAATTCGTACCTGTGCAACTGCCCCAGCGTCTTGCCCGCGAAATTCTTTAGCCCTTCTTTGCCGGGGGCGAAAACTCGCTCCTTTACGGTATCCATCGCCAAATTTTATGCTCCGCTCGTTTTGCAACAAAGTTAAAGTATCATATTACAGTGCAAGATGACCGAGCATAGTAGTGAGATACAAAAAGGAAAAGGCGTGATTATCTTCTTTGTAAGGAGATCAAGACTCGACCAGATATCCCAAGAATATGCTGTACGGACGATGAAAAAACGCCTACATATGCGAGCAATCAAATGTGGTTTGACTCCATATTCAGGATAGTAAAGTCCCCCCTCACCTCACGCACAATGAGACCATACTGTAACATGGTGTTGGGGTTTAACCGACTGTTTCTGTATGCAAAACCGGATGGAAAAAATCCTTGCCACGTTCTTGAAACAAAGTTTGCAAAAAAGAAGATTTGCTGTTTAAAGGGAAACAAGGAGGAGTAAAAAAAGAGAAAGAAATTAAACTAATATATATATATTATTTCCTAAGGGCTACGCCTTACGACCTCTACGACCGCGGGATTATATGCCCCGTTCCCAGTGCCACTGCAGCCCGATCAGCACCAAGGACAGCGCGTAGTCGCGTGCAGCCCAGCCGGTCCCCGGTCGGTCCCCGTCGGCGCCGCAGTCTCAGTGCACGGCCAGCGCGGCTCCTCACTCTCCCAGCCCTCACTCGATTCATTAAGGGAGGGGCGAGGGGGACCTGGGAGATGAGGACGCTCCTCACTTTTATTTCTCCTTTCAAGTCAGTCGACGTTAAATAATTTTGCTGCAGAATGTTACATAGCCTACTGATTTCTATCTGTTCCTGTTCAATGATCTCGTTTTTCTTAAAGCGTGGCACGTTATCTTTATATCTTTATTCTTTCCTGTGTATCAGCGCTATATCAAAGCGTCCGGGCAAACCTCTAGGGGGGCGGTACTATGGAAACCAGATGAGAATCGGTGCCAAGGCTTCCCGTGTTTGCGGAGACGGAGGCGCCAGTGCAGGAGCCGTTCACCATCAGCATCATTCCTCCTTTCGGTCTTTCTCACCTTCATCCATAAGTTAACTAACGCAAAAGCCGAGCCGTTTCATCACAACACGCCTGCGTCCGCCATGCACATCCGTGCGCTTTAAACGGGCGCACATGTATTCGGTAATGGGCAGAAATTAAAAAAAAAAAAAAAAAAAAGTTTTAATTTTCAGAATAAGAAAAAATAACGATTAGTTATTTTTCTGGTATTCCACGTTAATGCATTAGGCTACTTTATTATAACTATTAGAATTTGAGAAATATAACATTCATACAGGATATTAAAAGCCATTGCGAATACGTTTGTTGTATGCAAATTGTGTGCAACAGTAATCATTTGGTTAATTTGGTAGGTTTAAGACAAAGGCTATTCCAGAGGTGTGATCAAGTTCGGGGACGGCGGCACCTTCAGAGTTGTGCAACGCTGCCACCCAGCGTCCGGGATTTCACTGTCACCATTAACACCATGCATTTCATTGCATCTATAGGTCTAGTTAATAGTGGAAAAAGAGGGATGTTACTGCCATTGTTTCGATGCGACCCGACATATAAATGAACGGTTTCTGAAATCTACGCAACTATTTTTTCTAACTTTCTACAATATACGCCTTTAACAAGCCGGGAGTGGAGCGCTCGCACTAATATCGTATGTTGTCTTGTAACCGATCAGGAGAGACACAGGATAAAAATGTCACCTTCGGTCACTGTCAGCCAACATGTAGATTTAAGATCTAAAGGTTGTTTTCCCTTAGGGTGCATGCAGAGCTGCAGCGGCAGCTTGGTGAGCTATACTGTGCAGATTTTTCAAGGTGAAGTTTCTCACAGCAGAAAGTGCGGAAGAGTCACGACGAAACCCTTCCGATGAGTAATACAACTTCGTCACGACTCGGCTTCTCATTCCCAGTTTTTACGCAACGTACGTAACTTTTGGTTTTAAAAAAAATCAAACAAATCAGATTTACAATATGGAATTTTAATTAACGAATTACAAATAATTTCACATGTGGAACATTAACACTGCGTGAACATCCAACTTTATCGCATCACTTGATACTCATACATAACATACTCAAGAAGAGAACCAACTACCTACCATCATAAGTCACAGTACAAAGGGCCTTTATCAAAGGTACAATATGCAGCAGTGATTAAAAATCTTAACAGATCCCGAATAAACACGACACCCCCACACCCAAGGTGCATGGGATCACAGCCAAAGCGAGGACACCCCCACACCTGAAGTGCATGGGATCACAGCCAAAGCGAGGACACCCCCACACCTGAAGTGCATGGGATCACAGCCAAAGTGAGGCTGGCTTCTTGGACCCACATCCTAAGAACCACAGCACTGGCAGATCAAGGCACTGTAACTGTACCCAACGGCACTGTGCGAGTGCAGTAGTATGTGGAGAGCAGCTCAAACACAATGCAGCGCCCCCGTCAGGCCAATTCTACCAGCAGAGAAAAGCATCACTCTGGACAAAGACAGCTAAAGGAGGATTTATGGCTCCTACAGACTATTCATAGCTGAGCTTATTAATAAAAGATCTGACGATTAAAAACAGCTCAGAGCTGCTCCTGTGTCTGTCACCCGACGTGTCCCTTGCAGTAGAAGGCTCTCGTCACTGTTTCATTCCCCGCCACCCCGAGTCACTCTCTCAGTGTCGAACCCGGACGGAAGGGGCTGACAATACATCAGGGTAGGAGATTATACCGGTTAGGATTCCCTTAAAAACAGACGATTTACAATCGTGGCACGAATCTGTGAAACGGGCTTTTCCCTTTTCACCATAACAAGCGGACTTTACGACCCGTGCTTCCGTGGTTTGCCGAAAGGTCACAGAAATCACAGGATCGTCTGAAAAGCCTATATCCAAATGAGACAAGCTCGTCCCTAAAAGGCGTGACGAGACGAAGGCACTTGTTGGGGCGCTTTGCGGATGTGACACTTTCAGCTGCTCTCTCGGCCAGATGGGGACGGATTCACGACAGCGCAGCCTCACTGAGACCCAAAGTCCTGCCCATCAAACAAGAGTGGGCTCCTCTCATCCACGGGCCGGGGCTGGCCGCAGTGCTGCCTTCTTTCCTGGTAGGGACACTGAGGGAAGTGCGGTCTGTCTCTAGTGAGCCGCCATTGGGAAAGCAACCCGCATACCATTAGCGCCCCCCAGAGGACAATCAGCAGGCCATCTGCAAAACAGAGCATGGAATTTATTCATTGTTTAGAAAAATCTTTATTATTTTTGTCTAAGGCGATTTACAGCACAAGTGGTGCTAACACGAAAAGGTGCAAAAAAATGCTCTGCGGTGCACGACTCTCACCGAGGATCTGGAAGGGCAGCACGAGGAGGGCCTGGCGGTAGGAGGGGCTGACAGCCCGCCTCAGGAGCGCGCTGGAGATGACATGGGGCAGCGCTGCATGCAGGTAGAGCCCGAGGGCCACAACTGCCACGTAGGACCCAACTATGGCACTGGCAGCCATGTTGAGCTGATCGGCATCAGAAGTGGAGAGAGAATAGATTGAGGACCTCATGCATGTTCACATAAATATGCTCAAATACCCTCACACACACACACACACACACACACACCCACACTCAGGACATACAGACTTACTGCTGTTTGTTATGTTACGTTCGATGTGTTATGTCACATTATGTTACGTGACGTTATGTTACGTTATGTTACATTATGTTAATCAGATAGGCAGTAGTCTTCCCCCCCTCCCCTTGAATTACTGATAACTGTATAAGAGTTTTCTTGCATTTTTTTTCTGTAAATTAATGTGTGTCCTATCATGAAAATTACACTGGATCCAGGAGAAACATTATTTCGTTTCACTGTGTCCAGTACATGGCTTGGGTGACAATGAAGCTTTACTTGACTTTACTAAGCTTATATTTTGTGTGTTTATTTAAGGTGTGCTTTATACTGGGCTTTATACACCCCAGCACATACCTTTCTCTCTCTCTGTCTCTCTCTCTCTCACACACACACACACACACACACACACAGCCTGCAGGAACCTTGCAAGAGCACAAGAAGAGCATCTGTTTACTTGTGACGAAACCCATCCAACTCTCACTGCAGAGGGAGGTGCTTGTAGGTTTTCTGAAACTGCGCAGTGTGAGAGCGCGTACAAAACTCTAAGCCGACAATCCCCACATTGAAGGGAGCTCATTTATCTGCTTTGGGGGTTTGGGGGGGGGGGGTGGTCATCCCAGTACCATCTGTACCTGGAGTCACCAGCTTCCACTGCACAGTGGATTAATGCCGGGCTCTGAGTGAAGGATGCAGCTTCGCAATGTAATTAACATTCTGAAGATAAAAGTGAAATGTTAATGTAGCGGCCAGCAGGAAGTGAAGTGCAGAGTGGGAGGGGCAAGCGTGTGTTTGCGTGTTCCCGGGAAGAGGACAGGGCAGGAATGTGTGAGGAAGATGGGGGCGGGGGAGGGAGTGAGATACTCACGGCTCTGGTGCAGGACAGCATGAGCACAGGCAGTACCAGTGCCCCAGTAGCCACACACACCCAGTACAGCAGGTCATTCCGCAGGGGCTCCGTGTTCACTGCAGAGATACACAGAGAGCCCTCTGCTGGACATCACCCGCACTGCAGACCCCTGTCCAAACTGCAGCTCAGTCTGATTTCTTAGTTCATTACACAATCTAATCGCTTGAACAAGACACCAGCTTTTCCGATAGGAATAAAATCTTACTGGGCCAGTTCTTTTACAGGTCGTGCTTGTTTTCCCGCCAGCTGAATGAAACTTCAGGTGCCAAAAAGCCCAGCTGTATCTGGGGGACACTGACCTTAAGCAAATGGGTCTACTGGTGTGGTCCCCAGAGGCAAACGCGCACGGTCCCGCTTACCGACGGGGGTAACCATGACGACCGCCGCCAGCAGGGTCCCCAAGACCAGGCCTGCTAGGGAGGTGAGGAGCAGGGGTATGCCGAAGCGCCACCTGCACAGGGCACAAAGAAAGCCCCCCCACCAGCCGGCGACAGCGCTGTACAGCACGCACACTGGGGGGGGGGGCAAGCGATTATAAGAACTGAGAGTCATAATAATAATGAAATAATGATCAAGAAAGTGGCATCATGTGACATCTCATGCCACACAGGCCATTTGTACACTGGTCCTAATACGGCAAGCCCTGAATTTAATTAGAACGGAAATAAATTCAATAGAATTTAGAGAATGAAGGACTGAGAGAGCATATCTGTCGACGGGGGTGTTCCCATAGCAACGGCCACCCTCAAAGCCCAAAGTGTGGAGTGATGGGGGGGGGGGGGGGGGGGGGTGTTCAACATTAGGCTGGTAACACACATAACCCACAGGTGAGGTGAGTTTGGAGAAACACTGATCTAAACTAATAGGCCAGCGATTCCGGAAGGTTCCACAACGGGCAATTATACAGCGTATGCTTCTTTGTTAATTTTAATTGTTATTATTAGGAAGAGAAGTAATACACTCCGACAGCTTGGAATGCAACGTGGTTTATCAATAAATATTTTATTTAAAATCAAAGAGCATACATTACATTTGTCTGGAGAAAAGTAATTAAGGAATTAAGGATTCTTGCTCGTAATATAGAAAGTTTATTAAAAATGTATGAATTAATGACATTGAGTTAGACCAAATATCACTGATGTATAAATCAATCGTGGGCCCTGCCCCCTTTGAAGTTTTGAAAGCTTTCATCTCTGGATCCTCAGCCTGCCTGACTTACACAGTATCTTGCTCCCTATATATGAAATCTGTTAATATTTTAACAGCCACGGAAATAAGGGTCACCAGTACCTTTGTACTTCCAAAAGTAGAGAATATTATGGGTCAATCATAGACCCCTTGTCCAGTGTGAGGAAACAAACTGCTACTCGAGTCCAGTGACCTACAGTGACCTCCGCTGAGTGGTGGAATCACTGGAATGTACATTAACAGGATTTTGTTTTTCTTCTGCGTTTTAATGCTACGGCTGCACCAGTAGGTGGAGCCACACGCGTGCTTTGCTGGTACCAAACTGAAGAGCATGTTCAGCCTTATGCCAAGTGACTGGCAAGACCTCGATACTCACTGAATAACCAGCTAATAAAAATGGTCAGATTCGCATTTATATTGGTAGAGTCACATATTTGTCAAATACGCTTTTTTCAAAAATGGATTTAGCAAACAGTCAACTTTAAGAATGCCACAATAAACTAGCTTTGATTTCTTTGCTATTATTCAGTTCATATTAATGGCTGTTAAATAATGGTTGCTAACTGCATAAGCCAGTTTTTTTAATCAATGTGACTATTGATTAAAATGGGGTCAGGAGGAACCAGGCCTCGAACCTGCAACCCTCTGGTTACCAAACGATAGCACTATGTATAATGTTAATTTCTCATGAACGTATTGTGTATTTTGAGTAGGGCTGAGCAATGTTAGGAAAAAGTTCACATTGTGGTATTTGAAGTTTTTGCGATATTCAGGAGTGAAACTATTATAGAACTTATCTACCAACAGAGTCTGTCAAATAAGTTGATGGTGCCGCAGTGAGCTGTGCCAACGGACACAAAGCAGCTGTGACAAAACACTTGCTTTTGCTCGATATCGTATCTGGAATACAAAATATTAAATACAGTGGAAGACGAATATCTTTTTGTGACCATTTCTTATTCGCTTTTCTCCTCTCCTTCTCACTCAGTTTTAATTTCTCACAAACACGCCACATGGACTATGAATGAGTTCAACAGCAGGGATGAGAATGATTGCGACTGTCTTGGAGAGAGTGCATGCATGAAAAGAAACTGTCATTAAAACCGCAAAGCTTACCAAGTTTTGTTTCCTATGATAGCAAAAATGCTTTAGCGCAACTTATTGGTGGTTTGAGCCCAGCAGACTATCGCGGTCCTGGCAATGTGATGTGCAACTGCATGTGCATGAAGTTCCATGTCAATACTAACGTCACGCCTCACAGAAGCCTGCCTGAGGGTGTCTAAATTGACCATATGTGTGACTGAGTGTGCACCTTGCAATGGTTGGTTGGTACCTGCCTGGCACCAATTGCAATGTATGTAATATTACATTATATATTATTTATAAACAATTACTCTGTGAATCGTCAGATTAATCCTAGACTAATGATTACTGCTTCAAAGGTCAGCACATATTGTCAGCCTAAATATCTTAGTTAAGATGGGTGCCCCCTGGTGGACATCGGACAAAACAGCAAAGCAATATAAACACACTCACACTGAATGCTTTGTGCAGAATACCGGCCCATCAGCAGGATACACAGGAAACTGGAAATCAGGAACCCGAAGAAGAAGTACTCTGAAAGCAACAGACCAGCAACATGTGTAAGGGGGAAGAGCCAGGAACTCACGTGGTTCTCAGAAAGGACCCCCCCCCCTGCGAGCTGCCACCCCAAGCCCAAATCGTAGTCCTGCCATGCCGTGACCTCTGACCTTAATTACGTGCAGTTTGAACAAGTTTGAACAATTTGTGTGAAAACAAACATATCAGCTCTGTGTGAGAATAATGAAGACTCAGTTCATTTTCAATTTAGTCATTTTTCGAGTCTTTCAAAATATATACTATATAATTGCTGGGTATTTAAAATTACAGTATTTAAAATGTGAAGAAATTGTAATAAAGATCTTTTCAAACAAAATCGCTACACCATTACGCTCATTCCTCAGCCATGACCGTCTGATAAGGTTATCATAGAATCTACAAAGAGAGGATTAAAGAATGATTTCAGATGTATCTAAACAGAGGAATTAATTCAGTCAGCAACTCAATCAAAGTAAAGTAATTAAGAGGCCAGAAAAAGCCTCACCAAAGGACACGGCTCCTGGAAGTACTTACACAGCTCATATAGGGGACAGCGACTAATTACGGAGTGGACGATAAACCACAAAACCAGATCAAAGTAAAATCATGCAATAAAAAAAGCTTCAATCATTCCCTTTGCCGCCACTATAATAAAAATCAATCACTAATCACTTGGGGTGTGCGTCTAGATCGTCTATTATATGAAGCAAACAAACTCAATAGGGTTTGTTACGGCACTGATTAGATACAATTATATTCAAATGTGACACAATCTAATTTGACTCTGACTGGATATGATTTAGTTTAACATGTATTGAAGTATCCTTGTTTTTTCAAACAAGACACTGTATTTATTTTACACTGAAAAAATAGATATGAAATATAATTAAATATTACAATAATATCCAGTGATATTGAGGAGACAGGTGTATCAATTTTTGACTTGGGCTTTATCTAGATTTGACCGATTAGTAGTTTTGAATCGATAAAATTGTATAATATACACTGGGACTGGATTTCTGATTTGAAAAGTTTTTTTCATTACAATCACTAAAAGGACAAATGGCTAAATAACTGCTCAAACGGTCTGTTTTACGCCTACAAAGTCTGCAGCCAGTAGATGGAATACAAGATGCGTCTAAATGCTGGCAGGTGTCACGTTCTGCCAGGACTGACTCACCTGCCTCCAGGAAGCGGTGCCCAGTGAAGCAGACAAACAGGCCATAGGTCCCCAGAAGGGTGAGGAACACCAGCGAGAAGATCTCTCCTGTAAGAACGTCACAGGATGGAGGTATCTTACTCCAGTGTTTCCCAGTCCTCGGCGACGCTCAGACAGTCCACGTTTTTGCTCCCTATCAGCTCCCTATAGAACAAAAATGTGGACTGTCTGGCAGGGAGCAAAAACGTGGGGGTCCCCAAGGACCGGGGGGGGGAAACAGTGTCTTACTCCACTGTTCCCTGCAAGCATACTAGACCTGCAAAGAGAGACTTTTTCAAAAATGATTAAGGATGGATACAAGCCCTCTGATGCTAGAAAAAAAATAAAAAATGTAATCAAGTGCTGTTGTGATGCCAGGTTTGATTTCATTATTTTTTGTTATTTCTGCAAGATCATCATAAATGTGTTTTGTTAAAATACAATTAATTCAGCTGAAAATTAAGGTAAATTCCAATAGCGTTTTTTGAGATACGACTGGAAATGTGATACTTCAATCATTTTGACAGCTGAAAACTGTAATTTAGAGAACTTGGAAGATGGAAGTGTGATATCTTCCACAGTTACATGTGGGCAGTGGTGGGATGGTTAGGGAAGCACACTTGCAATTGAAAGATTGCTGGTTTGAATCCCTGACCAGCAAGACACCACTGAGGTACCCTGACCAAGGTACCACCCCCAAGCACTGCTCCCCGGGCAGAGGACACATTTCATTGTTGTGTGCTGTGGTGTGTCAACAATGACCACTGATCTCTAAATTCGAATGAGAGTGGTCACCTTGAGTGTGACAGGTAGGTGGCACCACAGAGCTGAAATTGCAGCTGTAAGTAACAGCTGGGACATAGAGGGAAGAGGTGTTAAAGCTGGGATCTGAGACCACCACCACATGGATGACGCCAAGGCCGGGGAAAGCATGCCCAAACAGCTTCGTCTTCGAGGATGAGCTCAGTGAAGACATCTGCAAAAGGAGGAGAGAATGAGCCGTAGTACGACCCCTTAACCTGGTTAATCCTGTTTTGCAAACAGCAGCGTCAAGCATCATTACGTGTAAAAATGTAATTTTTTTTGCTAGTAAACTTAATAAAATTAAGACTCCTGTTGCACATCCTCAGCCTTACAGTGAGGTTCACTGTATGAAAAGGGTCCTACTGAGTGCAGTTAGGCTGATTCCAGAGCAAGAGCTCCTTGAACTACTGCATCAGCTTAAATCACCATCTAGTGCTGTAGACATCATACCCACTAAACTCCTCAAAGTTAGGGCCACATTAGCTCCACATCTATTTTAAATAGTTCTTTGGCCATTGGTACATTATATAAACTGGTGTCTAGGAACTTAGGGGTACTTTTCAGTTCCAGTTTAAACTTTGAACCTCATAAATAAACTGGTACAGTCCTGCTTTTATCACTGTGAAGGTCAGAGGGTCCTTATCTTTTGAAGATACTGAACAGATCATTCATGCTTTGATTATATCTCGCCTGAACTAAGCGATGCCTTATTTGCTACACTGAACGGCTCTTCCATTGCCCATCTACAGTCAGTATAGAACTCTGCAGCTTCATTACTTACAAGATCAAAGGCTCGTGAACATATTACCTTAATTTTGGCATCACTTCACTAGCTTACAGTTCAATTCAAAATGTATTTAAAAATGTGATTAATCACTTTAAAAGCCTTACATGATCTAGCTCAGGAGTATGTATCTGAATTGCTAGTCCCCCATCAAACAGCCAGACCTTTAAGATCATCAGACTGATACTTTCTGTTCCAAAGTCCAGACTGAAAACCAAAGCATTTGCTGTGATGGTCTACAGGTTTTGGGACTGGTTCCCTCATTTTTAAGTCTTGTTTAAAAACACACTTTTATCGCTTAGCCTTTGTAAAAGTATTTGTTTGTTTACTTGGTTTTAACGATTTATACATTTCATTTCATTTATTTAATTTGTTTTTATGTGTTATGGTTTTTATCTTTCCATTTTATTTGACTTTACCCGGAATATCGTTTCATTTCATGATTCTATTATTTTATTCCCCTGTTGGTTCCGCCTGATATAATATGAAGCAGTTTGTGCTGCCTGGCTTATATATCGCTGTACGAATCAAGGTATTATTATTATTATTATTAGAGATGTAAATCCCGATGGCCTCTGTATATTTAATTTACCCATCTGTCCATTTTTGCAGTGTAAAATACTTACCAAAATTTTAAACACATTTAATTCCAAAAGCAAGTTGCTGTAAATATACTTTTGAGGAGTATATTTCGGAAAAAACAGAAAAAAAGACAGACTTGAAACTACCGTAGAAGTCTAAACTAATAAATTAGCTGAAAAATTAGCAGGAGAGTTTTCAGTCATAAATCCAGTTCCCACAATGCCGAGGGCTTTATTGTGACTACCTCGCCATATTCAGGTTCATCACCAACCTTCAGATTATCGGTCTGCCCTTCACACTACCAGAGGCTCATAATAGAAAAAATGCATGATCATCATCATAAGCAGGAAATCTGTGACGGCCTAGAAATGAACACAGCCTGCTTGCATAACTGCTGTGGGCCTATGGGAAAGTTCTGTCTATGAGGAAGTTCTTTCCGTAGCATCTTAGAGATGATGTAATCCACTCCGCTCGGACGGCCCTATATCTGCCCCGAGAAATTGTTAAACTTGCTCACTGCCTCGACCCCGGTTGATGCGCATGGCTGCACAGTTCAAACAGTTTGGGGAACTTGTGCTTATACTTTAGTTTGATTGTTAGACCAATTATGGAATAAAATATTCTCCTCATATATGAACCAGGTCTCCGGCTGGGAATTTCTGCAACAATTATCAACATTAACAGAAATACTAAAGAACACAACCCAAAAAGTCAGTTCCTAACCACACCCCAATCACACACTAACACACTAATAGCCTAAAAGCAACTAAACACCCCAACGACACTCTGGGTGGAGTAGTACCTTACTCCCGTGCCGTCTGACCGCTTCCACAGAATCCACCACCTTCAGCCCGTCAAACAGGGCCCCTTCGCTGAGGTCACCTTCAGGCAAGAAGTACTGGTAGACCTCATAGGTTAGCTGCCACCTGGAACGGGAACCCTGCCCAGCATCACAGGACAAAGGGTCCTCACCCCTGACGGAGCACAGAGTGGGAGGTCAGAGGCAGCATAGCGTTACTTCACGCATGACGGTGACCGTGTGGAGACGCTACGTGTGTCTGCGCCATGAGTGCGGCCCAGACCTGGCCACGCCGACGTTGGCCGGCGCGAATTCCATCACCGTCTCGAACTCGGAGAACCTCAGGTGCACATTGGGATCGTTCTCCATCCGGAATTCCAAATTGCATGCTCCTGGGACCGGATCTGTTCGGGAAGGGTCGAAGCAGGTATCGCATGAGGACAGACGCTGGATTGTGCTGAGAAGACAGCTCCGCCTGCCGCTGTAAGTACCCCTCCCCCAGAGGCTCTACAGCTGCTCTCACAGGGGACCACTAGGGGGCACTAGTTAGGTGGGAGGACAGATATTCGTAATCTGATCACAGGTGACTTGTGGCCAGCATCTCCAGCCTAATTCCTGGTGAGCCATTTCAACACGACATTTGGCTTTCAACATCCTTGGTTATGTATGTAGTCTTGCCATTATTAATATATACATTATGAAGAACTGTATGTAGGTTTTGTTCCTGTTTTTGTTCTGTATTAAAGACACACCATATTATTGCCGGTAGAAACAACATATTATCGGGGGTACATATTCGTAGTGGAAATACGGACATCTTTAAGACCAAGTTTCTCCCAGTGACTTGCACGGATGCCAACTAATTTGACCATGACCGTGTGTACGGCCCCTTAGCGCTGAATGTTCAAAGAACAGACCCTCACATGAAAAGCATAATGACAAAAGCATTAGGAACAATGCAATAATCGCACCCCCAGCACCGCCCAGTGTGAAGGGGCTTCCCTGTTACCTTCCCCAGTGTATCCCGTGGCCGAGACGCTGGCGTTAGTCACGCCGCTGGCGCGCGCGTACACGTTGACGTGAATGTCAAAAGGCGACAGCGCCACCCAGAGGCCGGCGCTGGTCCCGCTGTAGGACGAGTCCGGTGGGAACGTCTGCAGAGGGACAGCAAAGAGTCCTGAATGCATGGAGCAATGGCCGTGTTATCCCCATTCCCCAAGTGTGCCTCGTCGTTATTTCTTATGCAGCGAGAGCATAACAGTTCGTTAATCTAAAAATTAACCCAAAATCTTTTCGCTAGAAGGAACATGTCTAGTGATCTGTACATGCATTAATGTGATTTCGCTGAAATTGGGATCAGTAGTACTGAAACAGGAAAGCCTGCGGTGTGGTACCGGGGAGGTGGAGACGGTGACGGTCTCGGCCAGGGTGTGGAGCTGCACCAGCAGGCCGGCGAGCAGGGGATCGGCGGCTCTCCAGCGCAGCCGGACCGTAGTCGCATTCAAGGTGACGATCGAGCTGCCGCTGATGGGCATGTTCGTCACTTGTGGAGAAAACAGTGAAAGTGAAAGCAAGGAATCTGCCAGCTGCAAACGGGTTAACGCCGCTACTTTCACGTCTTATTTACTTAAATATGTGTGCTTCTTGATAATCTATGAATATAACATAATCAACATAAAATACCTGGTGCATTATCCGGTGCCGTTTCGTGTGCATAAAGCCTGTTTGCAGCAAATGTCGCCAAAAGGCGCAGAAACAGCAAAGCACGGTGCCACTTCATGGCGTCTGGCGTAAATATGTAAAGCTAATAGTGTGGTGGTTCTGGGCTTCGGGTTCCCCAGCCGACCGCGGTTCTCGTGCTCCGAGGCACCGCTGTCCGGGCGGATCCGAAGCCGGAGAGTCGGTGTGTGACGAAGCGGAGCGAGTTCAGGGCGATCGGCCTCCGAAAAACATGTCCGAAACCGAGCCTGCAGAAAGTGCTTCAACCTCTTTTGCTCTTCCGGATGGCGGAGACGGGGGCGGTGTCACAAAATTGAGGGGGCTCCAGACGCACCACAACCATACGGAGACGTCGTAACATTAAAGTTTACATTTTTATTACACTTTTAATCCAATACACAAACCGGAATCATAAATAGATACTTACAAATACATATATACAAACTAAGATATAACAAGCAAATAGCCTCAGAAGTGATCTGGCGTAGAAACAGGAGAGGAACTAATATGGAAACTATGCAAATCATCTGCAGTGCAGATCTGTAAAATTTTTTACGCAAATGTGGTGCCTCCCCCCGAATTTGTTTTTAAAGTTTACAAAAGGTGTTAGATGGGAAAGTGTCAACTGCACAAAGTCCACAAAGTTTATTGTTTTACAGTCTGATCAGCAGACATGCAGACTGCTGCACTAACAGCTTGATTTAGTTCACTAATCACAGAGGGTCAAAATGGTCATTAGTGTTTTTGTGCTGCCTGCCTGCCCTCTGCCCTCCATGGCTCCACGTTCTCCCTGCTAGATGGAAACCAGTTGTGCGTTAAGCACGCAGTGCCCTCCGCCCACACCGCGGCTGTGCCGTGTTCCTCCGGCCCCAGAGCTCTCTCCTGAAGTGCCGCTGCCGGCCTCGGGTTCGAGCCGCACTGGCACAGTCTGGAGAAGATGCCCCAGAACTCCTGACGAAACTGGCGGCCCGCGGAGCAGCTGAAGAGCGGGTTGACACAGGTGTTGAGGCTGCACAGGCACATCTCCAGGGAGAAAGCCACGTCGGCGGGCCCCCAACTGGCCTGGTCCCAGGGGTGGACGGCCCGCACCACGATGGCCGCATTGCGGGTCAGGTGGTAGGGTAGGTAGAATAGGGCGAAGAGGACCAGCGCGATGCTCAGCACCCGAGTTAAATGGCGCCCCCTTCTGTTCTGGAGGCCGGGCCGCCGTCGCAACTCCTGCACGCTACGGCAGCAGCAGTAGCCAATAGCGGCGAGTGGCAACAGGAACCCGACGCAGGACCAGTAGAGGGAGAAGGGGAGGCTCTGCCGGGTGTTCTCCAGCAGGACGTACATGGTGCAGATGGTGTGGTTGGTCCTCGGGCAGCGCTGGGTCAGTGTCATCAGGGCCACGGGGCTGCTGAAGGCCAAGGTGAAGCCCCAGATAGAGATACAGAGCAGGCTGGTGGGGCGGCGGCCCAACAGAGCCAACGAGCGCAGCGGGTGCACGATGGCGGCGTAGCGGTCCACGCTGATGCACGTCACGAAGAAGATGCTGAGGTAGAAGTAACTGTGGTAGACCAGACGCACCGCGGTGCAGAACTGCCAGCCCAGGGTCCAGTTCATCTGGGCCAGGTGATACTGGACCAGGAACGGTAGAATCAGGAGCCAGGAGGTGTCGGCCAGGGCCAGGTTGAAGAGGAACGCCGTGCCGCGAGACCAGCGCTTCAGGCGGCGTGAGAAGACCCAGAGGGAGAGCAGGTTGAGGGGGAGCCCCAGGCCCAGCACCCCCAGGAAGAAGGCCGGCAGCATATACAGCTGTATGACCATCATGGCCTGTTGGTTCTGGCCGCTCAGGTCACAGTAGGTCATCTCCAGCGGCTGCTGCATGTGCAAAAACAGAAACCACTAATTGAACCTCTGGCGGGTGGCCACCCTCTTCATGTCTCTGTTTGCCATCAGTTCTTTCACGCTTCACTGGACGTCTTTTAGCAAACGTCCGTCATTTACAAACCTGTTAAAAGGTTCGGTGACGCTTTACATTAAGTGCACTTTCATAATGCATTCATAGAACATTTATAAGCAGCAATTTAACATCCTAACATCCCTTAACAGCTTTAATATTCATTAATAACAAACATTACATTATTATACAATTATAATGTTTGTTATTATATAATGTTTGTTATTAATGTATATTACAGCTGTGAAGGGAGGTTATGATGTTAAGGTATACATACATGATGTTTATGAATGTTTTATGAATACTTAATGAATACATTATGAAAGTGCAGCTTTCATAATGTATTCGATGACACTTTTTAAAGGTTCACGTACTTTCATGGAAAAAATACTCAAACCAGTCTGTATTTAGAAAGACTTAATCATATGTAATTAAAAAAAAAACAACAGCAAAGCGAAACTTTCTTCGTGACAATTCATGGTTATATACTACATCACTATATCAGAATCATCTTCACTGAGCAATATGTTAAACATACAAGCACCGATATGTTAACATATAACATGCAAGACAATTTACACATGAAATTTTACACATACTTTTAATACTAGACTCTTTACTGAGTGAGAAGTAACATGGGATGAAGTAAAAGGTGAAATGAATAAGTAAATATGGAGTGAGTGTAAGTAACCGGGGTGCTGGTTGCGCCATGTGAGGATCGCCCCGCCGCTTCCCCGTGTCCCCCCCCACGTGTCCCTCACCTGTGTCTGTGCGTTCCCCATGTCATGGAGGCTGCCTCTCTTCTCCAGGCAGTGGAGGTGTTTCTGTGGCGGCGGTGGGGGAGCCAAGCGCGGCTCCGTGCTGCCGGCCGCATACCTGGGTGACGAGCACGACTGGGCGCCTACGCAAACACCCCGCCCTGGGGGCAGCACACGCCTCCGGCCGGCGCCAGCCCAACCATCTGCCACGCCGTGCCCGGCATCGCCCTGGAACCCGCCTTTACTTATCTACTCATTTGGTAGATGCAAAGTAATAAAGTGATATATGTTTTTGAGAGAACGGAGCAAGTAAGTTTGCTTAGGGGCCAAGAGTGAAATTACCCTACCTACCCTGGGATTGGAACCAGCAACCTTCCAATCACAGATATAGTGTTCTAACTTACTGAACCACACAGTGTTGCTTCTCACTACACCAGCACCATGGACTAGCAATGAGGTCAGTAAGAAATTTGGCTGGATTTTCATTTTGGACAGAATAATGTGAGAACCTGAAAGTGAACAGAATGAGTTTTAAAATCTTTTTTTCATATGTTGTGGTTTTACTTTAATGGTTTAACTTCCATGTCCAATGTAATCGAATGACTGTCTAGTTGAATAACAGTAAACAATGCTTTGAAACACTATACAAACACAATTTTACAATTAAGAAACCTTTTTCCATAGCAACATACATTTTTTGAGAAAGCAGATTCAGCCAGCCCTTAGAGCAAGTGGGGGATAAGGGTCTTGCTCAAATTTTAAGGATGGGATTCAAACCCATTCTGGATTAGCAGCCCAGCATCTTAACCATCAGTTATCTACTCTTTTTACCAGCAAGCAGTGAAACATAAAACTCAGAACACCATTTCCGGAATAAAAAGTGGTTTGTGTGCAGCCGTGATAAGGCCCGACTTTTTCAAATCCCAAACATAATAAAACAAGGAAAACAGAATAAAAACAGAATAAAAGATTTATTTAGTTAAAAAAAAGAGGTAAACAGGGAATTTTAAGGCTTAAGGAGACAGAGTTGTGGCTTCAATAGATCACAGTGAAGTTTATTACTGCATAGATGTGTCGTGTGACATCATGAAAACTTTCTGCCCCCCCACTGGTTACCCTGGATACACCAGTCAGACAGATCAGAGTACATTTCACAAGAAAGCTGAAGCATTCATTGTTTTGAGACAACAGGCTTTGCATATTAAAGTGAATCAACAAACTAATATATATAAAAAAAAACACATCATTCATGTTCTTTTAAAAAGCAGATCAGATTTAAACAAATTAAAATGGACAAAGGCAAAGTAAAAAATACCCACAATTGAAATGTCACTTACAAAGCTTAAAATATATTAACCTGTAATTTTCAATATAGCGATTTTTTTTTACTAAGGATACATTGAAGTTTTTGAGGATTACCTGAAATCACTGTAGATGGTGTGAAATTAATGGGACTCTCACACTGTCTTTGGACTTTACCCCCCGCCCCCACCTCCTTTGTTAAGTGCTTGATGCAGAACCTAGAAGGTCCCCACTATTCCGTCCTTCCACCATGACTAACAGGCAAGTAAATAAAAGAGCGCAGCACCTCACACAAAAGACAGGTGGCGCCCTTTGTGCGAGGGCACTGCATTGTTCCCGGATCCACAGGGAAGCTTTCATTAGCTCCTGACATCTGGGTAAATACAGGCACATTAAAAAGACATTTCCCCCCCCCCACACAAGGCACCACGCTCAGGGCAACTGCTTCAAAACAGTCAACATGCGACAGCTGTTCCTGGGGGTAACGAACACCAGCCGACCCCCCCCCCCCCACAGGCTGTGAATTCAGGACATAAATAAATGTACAGTGCTACATATCTGATTAACGTTGCCCAAATAATAATAAAGTTATAAATCTGAAATATTTAGTACAGCCTT